TGACCCTGATCCTGATCCCAATCTCGACCCCAAACCCCATCCCAACCCTGATCCTGATCCAAATACCGATCCCAACCCCAACCCCAGTCTTGATCCCAGTCCTGACCCCAATCCCAATCCCAGTCCTGATCCCGCTCCCAATGCTGACCCCAATCCCGATCCTGACCCTGATCTCAACCCCAACCTCAATCCTGACCCTGATCCTGATCCAAATCTTGATCCCAACCCCAACCCGTCTTGATCCCAATCCTGACCCCTGTCCCAGTCCTGATCCCGCTCCTGACCCTGATCCCAACCCCAACCTTGACCCTGACCTCAATCCCAGCCCCAACCCTGATCTTGATCCTGATCCAAATCCTGATCCCAACCCCAACCCCGACCCTGATCCCAATCCCGACCCTGATCCCACTCCCGCTGCTGGTGCACACCAAGCCTGGTGGATGGCGAAGGCCGTGCGTGTCTCCCGCCCCTCCTGCCGGCTGATGTTCTTGGCCGCCTCCACCACCTCCTCTGCTGTCTGGTACCGCCCCAGCACCCACTCATGCACCGCCCGCTCCCCGTACTGCAGCACCCCTACCTGCCACAGAGACGGGGTGCTCAGTGCGTGGGCTCAGACCCCACCACCCCAAAATGTCCCCCCCAAAATGTGCAGTGTGCCCCCCCTCCCCGCAACACAGCCCCAGCCGGCAAAGTGCACCCTTGACCACCCTGAAAGCAACCCCAGCTGGCATCGCCCCAGGAGTGGCATCAACGCGGGGATGATGGCATCACCGTGGGGATGATGGCATCACCGTGGGGACAATGGCATGGCTTAGGGACAACAGTATCACCCCAGAGATGGCATCGCCCCAAGGGTAGCATCGCCCCAGGGATGACAGCATTGCCCCAGGACTGACATCACCCCAGGGGTGGCACTGCCACAGGGATGACAACATCATCCTGGGGACAATGGCATCGCCCTGGGGATACTGGCATCATCCCAGGGACAGTGGTATCACCCCAGGGGTAGCATTACCCCAAGGCTGGCATCGCCCCAGGGAAGACAGCATTGCCCTGGGGACGACAGCACTGCCCTGGGCACAATGGCATCACCCCAAAGGTAGCATTGCCACAGGGACAACACCGTTACCCTGGGGACAATGGCATCACCCCAGGGATGATGGCATTGCCACAGGGACAACACCGTTACCCTGGGGACAATGGCATCACCCCAGGGATGATGGCATTGCCCTGTGTATGATGGCAGTACCCAGGGGATGGCATTGCCCCAGGGACAATGACATTACCCTGGGCATGACATTGCCCCGGGGACACCAGCACAGCCCTAGGGATGCTGGCACAGTCCTGGGGACGCTGGCGCAGCCCTGGGGATGCCACCTCACCTGGATCTGTCCAGGCCCGATGAAGAACTTGCTGAGGATGTTGCTGAGGAAGTTCTGCACCTCGTACCAGGGGTAGATGCTGTTGGAGCCGTCCAGGACGATGACGATGTCCATGTAGGTGGAACAGCCTGCCAAAGGAGGGACGCAGCTCACACCGGCACGGCGTGGCAACGTCCCAGCATGGGGCTCCGCACACCGCAGCCATCCCCCCACTCACGCTGTGCAGTAGGGGCAATGGTCCCCACCGGCCGGAGGTCACCGTCCAGCTGGGCGCAGATGCCGGTGCTGAAGACAGAGGTGCCGCATGCCTGGGACCAAAGCGGGGCGCAAGCCTGGCCGGGGGGGAGGGGGGTGACACGGGGACACAGAGCATGGGCTGGCACCCGGCCCCTGCACCCAGCCGTGCCTCAGTTTCTCTCTGGGGGAGGCTCCTCTCACCACGAAGCCGCCATCCTTGGAGTCCAGGAGGGTCATCCCAAAGTGCACGTTGTAGCCTGGGGTCGGGGAGAGCCACGGGGCTGCGGATCCTCGGCACCAGGGAAAGAGATGCCAGGGGTCAGCAGCGGGGTGAGACCCCCCCCCGCCAAACCCCGCTGGCGGTCTCACCGGGGTGAATGCCAGCCTGGAAAGGGCAAAGCTGGGTACAGAGATGGCCACCCATCCCCATGGGGCATGGTGGTACCGAGGTTGGCTTTGGTGCAGTTGGTGTTGGGGGGTCCCACGCGGCACTTGTAGATGTCACCTTGGCGGTCGCTGTCCCAAGGGGCCCCCACCAGCAGCCTGCGGGGACGTGGCAGCGTGAGGGGACACTGGCTGGGTCACCGGCAACACCCCGCTCCAGCTCGGCCGCAGCATTTTGGGGCACAGTGCCAAACCCTGCCCACCCCCGCCACCGGCATCGTGCCACGGTGCTTCCGCCACCAGGCTGCCGGCGGTTTCCGTCTGTCTGTCTGGCTGGCTGTCCGTCCTCCCTTTGATCGGCATCCCAACCGCCAGCACAGCCGCTGGGGCCCCCCCCGGATTTACTGACGGGACTCTTATTTTCATGTCCCCCCCACTCCCAAGCTGTGTCAGGGCAAAGCACAATGAACCTTAAAATCCCATTTCTGCCCCCAGAAAACACCGAGGGGGCTTTGCTGCCCAGCTCCCTGCCTCAGTTTCCCCTCTTCAGGGCATCGCAAGCCACGCATCCCCCCCATCCCTTAGCCTTGCCCCACATATCCGCCCCATGGGTTGTGCTGGGGGGGGGATGAAAGCCCCACGGGTGTCCCGTTGTCCCCCCCCACCCATGGGTGCCACTCACCACTTCTCCCCGCCGCCCACCCGCTGCAGCACCTTGTAGCCGAACTGGGCCTCGGCCGGTCCGTGGAAGAGCCGCGGGTGCCTCACATCGACATTGAACCCCACGCACAGATCTAGGGGGGGCGTGGGCAGGATGCTGAGACCTGAGGGTGGGGGCACCCACAGACCGAGGCATCCTGAGGCCCCCCGCCACCCTATACCCATCTATAGGGACGGGACTGCTTCGGCGCAACCCCCAAACCACGACAGCCTCGGCACTGCAGGGGGACATGCAAAGCCCCCCCCCCCCG